TCCATCTTGGAGCATGCTCTCTCAGTGTCTCGAGTAAACTGCTCCACGAGAAGCCTTAATTGTTTGTTCGGATCTTCCAGTGAAGTGTAGCATGGCTCTGAAGAGTGACCCGTGAAGGCCTCCATGGCTAACTCCAACTCAGATGGCCCCTCTGGTTGTGGCAGGAACTCTTCTTGAAAATGATATTGTCCTTGAGGTTCCCAAGGGTTTGGTTGTTCTCCGTAGAAGGGGGTTGGTACTGACATTCGAACCCATAGTCTTCTCCTCCTTGATTGCTCCAGGAAGTCTCGGGGTAATACCACACGGATGGTGGTTGATACCCCCAATGGTAGGAGAAGCCACGAGGGTCCATGTTTTAGAGCTGCACCAACAAAAACATAACACCCAAGTGAAAAGCAATGGTGGAAAAGAAACGAAAAAAAGCTAAAGTAACAGACTTTCACGTTTCCCCAATAACCTAGAGTTCCCCGGCAACGGCGCCAAAAACTTGCTGCTCTAAAACACAACACCAAACTGCGACCAAGTATAATCGCAGTCCGGGAATGCAGTAAAGTGGCAAGTTATATTATCAACCCGGGGTCTAGATCTACTGCTTACTCAGTGATTCTCTATTATCTAGCCAACTAAAGTAAGTGATTGTTGTTTAAAAGCAAAAGCAGAAAGAAAGCAGGAATTGGTACGGTTTTCTCAAGCAGGTAAGAGTCACTCGGGAGTGAGTCCCCCTAGCTCCTTAGTTAGGTTTAGATTGTATTTCCCTGGGTTGATTTACTGTTGATTAGACTGCGGAAGATCCGACAGTAGCTTGGAATCTCTTAAGCTGACCAAGCCCTCTCAGTCTAACTACCCGGTAGACGACTAGTCTTCACCGGGATAGAAAGCTGAAGCAGTAAGAACAGAACTCCACTACTGGAATTGGATTCCAGTACAAAGCAGTAAACTGGCTAACTCTCGTGTAGCCAATCTCCTACTACCGAATGATGAGACTCTAGCAACCTAATCAGATTCTATCTATCTCAGATTGCGGCAGGAATCAGGAAAAGTTGATCAGACTTCAATTGACTCAATAAACATGCATCATTCGATTAAAATCAAACAGTAATATCATCCCAAGTCATTACAATCAATCCCTAACACATAGAACTAGGGTTCTTCATCCCCAATTGAGAGAAGGGTTGTACTCCATAGAGAGAGAGAGGAAACAAGGTACAAAGCAGTCATACTCATTACAATGGGAAGAATCTACTCTGGGATGATGATTTCCATTCCTATGACGATCTCCAAGCTCGATTTGATGAAACCCAGCTCCAAGATAGCTTCTAGGATGTGTTCTTCGTCCTTTCTCTCTCTAGGGCTCTGTTTTTGCTCAAAAAGTCTGATTCTCTCTCTTGCAGCCCGAAATTGGGTTAAAACTAGGAATTCCCGACTCACACGGGCAGGGCCACACGGCCGTGTGGCATACCCAGTTGCTCGTGTGACTTCAAAACGCTGCGTCCCGATTAGTTTCACTTCAGGCTTCCTACACGGCCAGGGTCATACGGCCGTGTGGATCACCCTGCCTGGCCGTGTGAAGCCTCGCATAATTCCACACGGCCAAACCACTCCTTCACACGGTCGTGTGGATATCAGGGCAAGCCGTGTGAAGGCTCGCACAATCCCACACGGCCAAAGTGGTCACTTGCACGGCCGTGTGGATTCTGGTTGTGCCCGTGTGGCTTCCTTTTTGCCTTGCCTCGTGCCTGATCTTCGTCCAATCGACCTCGAACTCGCTCCTAAACCTTCATTCACTTGCTAGGACCTGAAATATTATAAACAAACACAACCTAGCGTGAAATCGGCCTAAAACACGAGAATTACCATCCCAAACGGCTTCAGAATAGGGGTAAAAACATGTGCAATTAACGCCTTATCACCCACCCACCCTATCTTTTCACAGCAATCGGGCCTATATTCCCCCGACCCGACGGTTGGAGCTTAGGCCGGCGCCTGTGGCGGTAGAGCTTTGAAAGGCGGCTGGTCCCCAACCAGGAGGATGATCCAGGACTGGTGCGTTCAGAACCTGAGGTTCGGGATCGAGAGGATCCCCACGCCGCGAGTTTTCGTCTCCGCCGACGAGATCGGCGTTGTGCTCTCTCGCCTGGAGAGGTCGAGCAAGCTGCTCGATGAGTACGACTGCCAGTAGCGGTCGAGGAAGATTGGAAGCTGAGGGAGTGAGAGTGAGCGGAACTGGATTTCCATCGCGTCCAACGGCGCCGCCGTCGTGCTCGCCGCCCGTTTGACGGATTCGCGAGGGAATCCATGGAGAAGCGCGGCGTGGTTCTCGAAGAGCTGCTGAGCTCGATGAGTTGGATGTTTGCGATGACCAGCCGCGACGGCGGCAGAGGAGGAGGATTAGCAGCAGCTCGCGACCGCCTCGCTTCGCCGGGATCGGTCAAAGCTCTGGTTCTTTAAATCGAACGACAGTAGAATAGCCGCCAAGTAGAACTCGCTGCTCAAGGAATTGTTGGTTTCTTCGTCTACCTCGAATCGAGTGAGAGTTGCCGAATCGATGCTGGAAATCGAAGTTTTACACCAAATCCTCTTTGGATTCGTGAGATCCCCATCGTAACCAAGATCTCCCTAACATTAATCTTCCAGCTCCTCCAGATCTTAAGCTGGAAATCCAGCGACCACTCTGCTCCTCCGATCTCACTCCCGACGACGATTCGAAGCCTTCGCCTCCAGTCGCACGCCGATTGATTCTACCTCGCTCATCAATTTTGGGGAAAAAATTTATAGGGTTCCTATGTTTCGCAGTCGAGAGAGACGAAGAGGAAAGGGTGAGAACGAAAAGAGCTTGGTGAGCCCTGTTTTTACATTTACCTTGTTTATTATTTTTTTGTTTCAGTAATAAATAAAACACCATTACTCCTACACATCAGCGAGCCACGTGGGATCCTATTAGGCGCTGACTGGGTTTTGAAAAATTTCACGGTTAAGTTTAACGGCCCAACTAACAGAAAAGACATTTTAGTATACAAATAACATATTGAAAGTTACGTAATATAAAAGACACTTTCGCTAAATGATGGTATTTCTAGTGGTATTAGCCCTAAAAAAAATGTATCCGTGTGTTCCAGAAGAAAACCATGTGGCCTTAGCCACGTACCCTATGGATGTGGAATCATGTGGTTCGAGGAGGAATTCACAACATATGGTGTGGTCATGACATGGGAAAGTCTGCTCGCCGAGCTTTGGAAGAGGAATGGGTTCGTGGATGACTACCTACATACATTTGAGAAGCTGTTGAACTGTTATCGTGGGTGGACTGAGGTGATGGTTATGGAGTCGTAAAATATGAGGAAAGCTTATCAGTGTGACTTGAATGGGCAACCTCGAGAGATGTGACAAGAGTTTCCTTGCTACTCTTCCCGATGCTATCACAACGTCACCGACACCGCAGTCAACGGTTCTGACTCAATCTTGAGTTCCTCTTGCTCCACAAAGGCACTTCGTTCTCAATATGATGGCTAAAGAAGCTGCTCATTGTCAATGCTTCTGTGTTCGTCGTTATAGGAAATTTTGAGGAAGAGGACCAAGTAGAGGAAGAGTCTAAAGAGAAACCTCGGGGACGAGGTCGTTTCAGGCATAAGATTTATGCATTTATGTATTTATTGGCTAGCATTATTATTATTATTATTATTATTATTATTATTATCTTTATTATTATTATTATTTCAAGTCTTTGTATTAGTATTCATTGGATTAATATGGTTATTTTTTGTTTTGGTTATTCGAATTAATTAATATTTAGGATTATAATTATTTATTGTGTCTTGCTTAGGAAGTAACTAAATACTTATGAGATAAGGATTAGTTTTATCTAGCTAAAGAGGGAAAGAATTTATGGGATTTAACCTATAAATGTGTACTTTTACTCTACCTTTTATTCTTGCATAAGAACACAAATATTCTTAGCAATTTAGTTATAGTTGATACATTTTTCGTATTTCTTTGTAAACCGGCCGCCTTTTCGATGGCCTAACTAGGACAATAAGAGTTCGCCCAACAAGCAAACATGTCCCACGGTCATTCTTCAAACATGCGGACTCAGATACACCGAAGAATCACGCAAGCATCTATCTCCCCAAGCAAAGCATCCACTACGGACCTTAACATTGGTCGAGAACTAGAGACAAAGATTCGACGATTCAAAGCAAGTGTTCATGCAACATGATAAAGGGCTTACTTGGAACCCTCAAATTTGAAAATATTTGTGCATACAATAAGCTACCAAGTAAGTCTTATATGACATTCAAATACATCAAACCATTCAATAAATTAACCACATTCCCACACGCTATCATAAACATCTTACATTCATCATCAAGGGAAGTGATCAATCAACTTGGCAAACATTCATGAACTTGTTACATACTATTCTATTCTTAAGCCAAGATGACCATTATGCCTTTAGTAAAATTTGTCAAATCCCACCTTCAGTGGCGCAACCAGGATTTTGGGTAAGGGGTGTCAACTTAAGAAAATTAAAATGACTATCAATTTTTTATAGTGGCCCACGAAGGGTTCTCATATTTTGAAAAGTCTGTAAAATACATTCATCATCCAGACTATCAAGAATGTCACTCTCAGTGTATCCTACCAAAAAATTATTCATTATATCATCACTCATTCGACTCCGAAGATCTTCAAAATCGAGAGCAAGGGTCAGGGAATAAGGGATGCAATTTTGAATATCAAACAATACCTTCAGACATGAGAGTTTCAGAGATACTCTTCAAAGAAGAAGAAGTTGTTGTTGGCCGCCAAAGGGAAAGAGGAACGAAGGAAGATGAAGGGTCAACTGGTCAAGGGTGGGACTGGGACTAGTCTTGCTTGTTAGGGCTAAAGTTTCGATTACTGCTTGAATAAACATGCAATTATGAGGTTTTTTAATTTAATTTACTTATTATTTTTAACCATAATATATATATATATATAATAAAACGTATTGGTGTATCACATAAGTAATTTTAGTTTAATGGAAGATGCCAAAGCTAATAACAAAGGGGGTTCCATGTTCAAATCCTAACTATAACATAAACTAATATCCCTATTTTTTATGTTCTAACCCCAATCCATGGGTGTGCCATGTAACACCCTAAATACATGGTGTCTCCGCCTATGCCCACCTTAAAATTGAGGAGTCTAAATGAGAACTCTCGGTTCAAGTGGTGTCGAGTTTAGACATAAAATGAGAAAGTTGAGGACGCTAACCGACTGTCGGATCAGCACTCAAATAGATTAGATAGTTGAGTTGTTATTGTGGGCTAGCAAAATAGTGGAATTATAGAAGTGCGCCGAAACTTAGAATTTTAGGAATGAAGAAGAAGAAGATAAGTTAGGTTGTTAGTGGTTTGGGTGAAAGAAGAGGCTGTTGGGCCCATGCCTGAAGGAAGAAAGAGGAGGGCTTAAGCCCGTTCGTGGATCGGGCTCAAGCCCGAGATGGGTTAAAAAACGGGAACAGAGGGGGAAGCGGGTCGGGATTGGTCGAAAGAAGGAAGAGAAATCGTCTTCCTCTAGGGAATCGATCGGGAAAACGGAAAGAAAGGGGCAGCAAGGCATGATTCGGGAAGCTAATAAATAATCGAGAAATAAGGCGGGAGTTGCATAACGTAACAGAAGCTTCGCGTTAATTGAAGTTAAATAGGGGTTTAACTAGGGCTAGTACTGAAGGTTACTGGAGAAACAAAAACGAGAAGTGAAAGAGAGCGACGAAAGCCGAAGAGAAACAGAGGACCTTGGCGGAGTAGGGGACGAGCCAGAGAACGAGAATTGGTTTCAATCATGAAACTGGCATAAGCAAGGAAGACTAGAAGGAGAGTGGAGACCTTTGGGCGTCAACGGGAGCTCAAGGATTCGGCGATGGCAACCATAACGGGAGTCGTCGTCGATCATGTCCACCATCGGGAGGGAAACGATGCAGAAAGGCGAAAGCCTACCCTTTGAGATGGCCAAGGGTTTTTGCCACTCTTCGATGGCCTCTGATGTGTGGGCCACACCGCAGCGATGGCATCGATCGAACTCTGATATTGGTGGGTGTTGGTAGGTTTGTTGGGACTTTTAGGGACGAGGGTATACGTACGATAGCCCAAGACCGGGTGACCAGGATTGTGATAGAGTCGTGAATAACGTTCACTTTCGGAAAAGAATATTTCCACCCTCAACAAGCCTAGGGTTACAGGAAATTTCTCCCGAGGATAAAACTATCACCACTTTAGGTTCCAGGCTCAAGAACACTAAAGCATACTTAGAAATTTTTGGAAGAAAGAAGAAGAATCTATTTGATCGTATGTGGCATCATCCACCCCACACATATTTATAGGGGCCGAATCCATGCATTGTTTCATGAAAGGTTGCCTTTATCCATACGAAAGGTTGCCTTTATCCATATGAAAGGTTACCTCTATCCATATGAAAGGTTATCCTTATCCATATGAAGAGTTGCCTCTATCCATAAGGTTATCCTTATCCATAAAATAATGCAACCGCCACTAGGCCAAAGGGATGTGCCCCTTCACGAAATTAGAATATTGGTTCGGTCGGTCTAAACCCAAACCGGTTGGTCGGTCCAACCCAAAACCGGCTTGGCTTGGTTAATCCGGTTCAACCAAATTTCCAACATTCCTCCCCCATTTTAGTGTATTCTTGGAATTCACTAAAATCACAACATTCTTCCAACAAAACTTAAGCATAAATGAAAATGTCGTGACGATTGAATTTTCACCTTAGTATATTACACTTGACGATTACTCGTATACAAAGGGTGTCGGTAATGATTGAACCCATTGACTCATATGAATATTCGAAGATAATATACACTTAATAAGTTTTCAAAACTTCTAAGTGCCTTGACACTATTATCCGCCATGTGTCCAATCCTTCTCATAAGCGCACACGAAACCAAAGTCCGGGTTTCTTGAAGCGGCTACACTTCATGCTTACGTAGGTCGAATCTTTTATTTGTGTATCCGCATAATACACTTTGTAAAAGATTCAATTAAGAAGTTTTGAATTTCGTCCTCTTCTCTCATGCAGATAACAAGCACATACCTCGGGATGACAAATTTTGTGCTTCAATTTCTGATAATAAGCTTTCCACATTGAATTCAGCCTCTAACGTTGTATTAGAGGGGAATTGGGTGTCCCATTACCAGAAATTATATGGACTTTAATCCATCCCTTTCACAGACTTAATCACCAAGTCACTAGTTAACCACTTCGTCAAATGATCAACCAAATTAATTCGATTTTGGTCATACTGTCTAGACACAACACTATGAATGATCAGTTCACAGCTTTTACCGTGCCATACTCCCACATGACCGTACTTATCATTTTTACTTGACTATATGCCTTAGCCAAATTAGCATTACTATCACAAAAGATAGAAATAGGTGAGATTGGTTTAGGCCATAAATATATGTCATAAACCAAACCTCTCAACAATTATGTCTCTTCTCTAAGAGAAATCAAGGCCACACAAACTTTGATTCCATAGTGAAACTTAGTGATGCAAGTTTGCTTTCTAGAGGCCCAAATTATGGCACCTCTCCCGATCAAGAGGACCCATCTCAATGTTGAAGTATCACCTTTAACATGAGAAATCCAACTAACATCAACAAATCCTTTCCAAAATTGATGGAAAGCCACTATAAGTCAATACAGTGTGCCTTTGACATATCCTAGTACACGCCTCATTTCATTTCAAATGATGAGAACTAGGATTCATCACGTGCCAACTTAATTGTTCTATCGCATATGCGATATCTAGCATCATGTAAGTCATGCATACATCTCCAGTTGTAAAACTGATTTCCAGTATTAACCATAAGTTCCATACTTGGATCCATTGGGGTCTTTAACTCACTACAATTCTTACTATTGAATTTATGCACGTACCTTCTCATGCAGAAAAATTGAGAGAATGACTCTTCTTTGTCGTTCCGCTTGATTCAATACACAGAATCACATTTGCCTACCCCATGTCTACATGGAGAATTGAAATAACAACTTTTTATCAAAGTTCACTTATCTTTTATTGGTTCTGACTCACTTCTACTGTCACTCCAGGAATTGGCCAAGTGAAACCACTTCCTAAAGCGTAGTATAGCGGGTTTGGGTTTAAATGTCAACCCGGGTCCTAGATTTGATGACTACTCAGTGAATTCTTGTTATCTAGCAATGAAACTTTAATGCAAGTCTAGACTAACAAACTAACAAAGCAAGTGAACAGTTGTATTCAGGTTAAGAGAGGTCACCCGGATATGGTTCCCCCTAGACTGCAGTTAAGCCGGATTGTAATTACCAAGTTCAGTTTCTATGATAGTTATACTGCGGAAGGTTCTTAAACAGCCTGAAGTCTCGACTAAAGGTCTTCATACCCTCTCAATCTGAGTCTCTAGCGGGCAACTAACCTCCACCAGAGTAAACAGATTGAGGCCTTAACAAACAAAACCTCCACTACCGGAGTAAATCCGGTATAGAATAGTGAGTTGGCTCCTCGACTAAAGTCACCAACTCCCTACCTTCAATTAAGGATGCTCTATCAACCTAGGCAGATATTCTCATTCTAGGTTAAAGCAGAAACAACAGGAATTTGATTAGGACTCAAGTCATTCAATCATTCAAACCTCCATTGAACATAATCAAATCATAGATTCAGTACTTGGGTTCATACAATCAAAGCCTAACATACAAATCTAGGGTTCTCCATACCCAGATGAATGGGAGAACTACTCCATGGAGAAAAAAGCAAAAGCAGAATCAGACGCGGAATTCATACTGTGAAGGATGGATTCCTGCTCCTGGACGTTGATCGGCACTTCTCCAAGCTCAAACTGGCCTCCAATGGTGTTGAAGATCACGCTAGGGCACTTGGAGACTCTTGTTCGTCGCTTTCTCTCTCTAGGAATCGCTCTGTCTCTCTAAAACTCGAATCCCCTTCTGTTTGGCTGAAAATCTGCTTAAAAGGGCATCAGTGGCCAAAGCACGGTCGAGGGCACGGCCATGTAATGCCTCAGCCCGCCCGTGCTTTGGCTAGGGTTAATTACACGGCCATTATGTTGGTGCAAACACGGCCGTGTTTGATGATGGACACGGCCGTGCTTTGGATGGCCACGGCCGTGCTTTCAGTCCGTGTAATCAGCTCATGTTTGCCAAACTCGAATTAGCTCTCGGCAGTAAAAGCACGGCCACAGAACACGGTCGTGTTCTGTTTTAGGTGTGCCCGTGTTTTGGCTCCAGCTCGACGAAATGACTTCCGAATGACCCGAAACTCGTGCTTAGCCTTTCCTTTGACGCATGGGACCTGAAATATGACAAAATAGCACAACCCGGCGTAAAATAGGCAAAAAATACACGACTATGCCCCTCAAACGGATAAGAACTAGGGGCGCAAATATGTGCAATTACATCGTTATCAGGTTCCAAAGATAAGCATATCTTATACATACAAATGTACGATGACTTCATTACCAGAATCATCATAAATTGTGTACACGTTTTGTCTCTTTGGTTTAAAATAACATAAACCACTTGACAAAATCACTTATCTTTGATTGGTCCCAAACATAAATATGTCATCTATATACAAACACAACGACTCTATTACCAGAATCATCAAACATTGTATATACAATTTTGTCTCCTTGGTTTAAAATAACATAAACCACTAGACAAAATCACACCACCAAACCACTAGACAAATCCAAGTTTATCTAGAACTTCGTAAATGTCGAATAGAGAATTAGACTAATTAACCATTGAGTATGTGACCTACCCAAAGACAATTTTCATTCTTCTATTTCTCCATTTTACGAATCATTCTCCTTCTTCCTCATCTTCAAATCATCGTTCTTCCAAGTTACCTTCCGGATATGGAATACACCATGAGACAAGTACGAAGAAAACCCATCTTCTACTGCCATCGATGAAAAACCCATCATCGAACATTCTCATAATTCCATAGATCGGAACCGGTTTCTTGTAAAAAGCGGTTCGAGCCATCGTACCGGAAAACTATTCTTTTCGTTGTTGGGACTTTTAGGGACGAGGGTATACGTAAGATAGCCCGAGACCGAGTGACCAGGATTGTGATAGAGTTGTGAACAACGTTCACTTTCCGAAAAGAATATTTCCACCCTCAACAAGCCTAGGGTTACAGGAAATTTCTCCCGAGGATAAAACTATCACCACTTTAGGTTCCAGGCTCAAGAACACTAAAGCATACTTAAAAATTTTTGGAAGAAAGAAGAAGAATCTGTTTGATCGTATGTGGCATCATCCACCCCACACATATTTATAGGGGCCGAATCCATGCATTGTTTCATGAAAGGTTGCATTTATCCATACGAAAGGTTGCCTTTATCCATATGAAAGGTTATCCTTATCCATATGAAGGGTTGTCTCTATCCATAAGGTTATCCTTATCCATAAAATAATGCAACCGCCACTAGGCCAAAGGGATGTGCCCCTTCACGGAATTAGAATATTGGTTCGGTCGGTCTAATCCCAAACCGGTTGATCGGTCCAACCCAAAACCGGTTTGGCTTGGTTAATCCGGTTCAACCAAATTTCCAACAAGGTTGTTGTTTGAGGTGGAAGAGGTGATGGACAGGTCCGAGGTAGGAACCAAGGAGGAAGGAAAAGGAAGGGAACAAGGTCTCGAGGTCGCTGCCTTTGTTTTCTATGGAGGTTGTTCTCTAGGAGGTAATAGTTTGTTAGCATGGTTTTGAAATTTTGATGAATAGTTAGGGGTAATGTGATATTTTCCTGCTATTGGGGGCAGTATGGGCATTTTAGTAAAATTTAGGCGTTGATAAGTAATTTACCATGCCAGGGGTGAGCTTGTAAATAGCTGTTGTTTGGCTCTCGGTTTGAAATAAGTCATTTGAACTGAAATGTCAAAATCAGAAAGTGTAAATAGGTTGTTGGTTAGATTTGTATAATTCTGAAAATTTCAAGTTGAAATGTTAAATCTCATAATTTACGGGTACCATACTGTAATTCGCAATTCGGGGGCAAAAAGGTCAATTTTCAGAATTTCATGGGGAATTCAAGGAAAGGTTAAATGAAGGGATCTGGAATTGGAATTATTCAAATTAGAGGTTGTTTGACTAATAACGATTATTGAAGGAGTATTAAGTTTCGTTTAAATACTTAATAGATGGAAGAATAAAAGGAGGGGAAGCAGAAGGAGTTTGAATGTGCGAATTAGGACACTGATGTGGGTCAACCGAAGGTGAACAGAGGTTGTGTCTGTCGATCAAGGTTGGTTAATAAGATGAGTGTAAAGATGGTTAATTCTACGTCTTACGGTGTTTATGTTTTTCAGACTGACTACAATGTGTCATATCTGCCTAAGCCTGTCTATATGATTCCATATGATGCATGTGATTACGTGTGAGTTATGCTCCCAGTTATATGTTATATTGCGTGTGACTTGTTCTAACTAGAACATCCCGATCGACGGCCAAGTATAACCGCCGACAGGGTGTAGCATAGGGCAAGCAAGCAATAAGAATTTATCATACCACGGGGATCTACGCTTACCCTACTTCAGGTTTAGGGTTCGTTATCTAGCCAACCTAGGATAGCGATTGATAAAATTAAACTAACTATAACCTAGACTGACCACTAACCTAGCTATTTTACAAGGTTGAATCGTCATAGGTCAGCTCTTTGGATTGATGTTGGGTATCTGACACGCTAAAACACAACACCAAACTACGACCAAGTGTAATCGCAGTTCGGAAATGCAGTAACAGGCAAGCTCTAATTGTCAACCCGGGGTCTAGATCTACTGCTTACTCCGTGTATATCTGTTATCTAGCAAACTAAGTTGAGTGATTGTTGATTTAAATAAAAGCAGTAAGAAAGCAAGAAATGGATCGGTTTTCTAAAGCAAAGAAAGAGTCACTCGGGAATGAGTCCCCCTAGCTCCTTAGTTAGGTCACAGTTGTAATTAATTTTGGTTGCTTTATTGCTGATTATACTGCGGAAGATCCGACAGTAGCTTGGAATCTCTTAAGCTGACCAAGCCCTCTCAGTCAAACTACCCGACAGACGACTAGTCTTCACTGGAATAGAACGCTGAAGCAATGAGCACAGAACTCCACTACTGGAATCAGATTCCAGTACAAAGTAGTGAATCGACTAACTCTCTTATAATCGATTCACAACTGGTTGAAGGGACTGGTTGGTATATGGCGTTGACAGAAGCTGCTAAAGAGGGAATATGGTTGAAGGGACTGGTTGGTGATCTTGGTCTACATTATGATCAGGCAGTGGTGTATTGCGACAGTTTGAGTGCAATATGTTTGGCCAAGGATCAAGTCCACCATGAGAGGACTAAGCACATCGACGTGAGGTATCATTTCTTGAGGACAGAGAAGAGGATTAAGGTGAAGAAGGTTGGCACCGCGGATAATCCTGCTGATATGTTCACGAAGCCGGTTCCACATGGCAAGTTCCAACACTGCTTGGACTTACTGAATGTCTTGAGTGGGTGACTCCGCCCTGCGGGGCATTGATGGCGGGAGAGAGATAGAAGGAGCAGAGTACATCAGAGATTTCAGAGGAAGAGGATTCAAGTCAAGGTGGAGATTTGTTGATGTGACTTGAATCGGACTATCAGCCCACGGTGTATGGGCTCAATGTTATTTGGGTTCGGGTTCTGGGCCTGGTCTGTAACCGTTTCCTTTGCCATATTGGATTAGGTTTAGACCCACATGGAGAAGTACTATAAATACTTCTCATACTCCTCTGTAATCTGTAATCTCCTTGATATAGTGAAACTGGCTCTCTCTCGCCCGTGGACGTAGCTAACACACATCGTGTTAGTGAACCACGTAAATCGTGTGTCTGTGTTTTTCGATTCTCGCTTTCGTATTCTTGTTTTGTCTATTCCTGCGATTTCCCGATCCATAGCAGCGCGTTTATAACATTTGGAGTTTAAGGATAATCAAATATCATGTGTTTCTTGTAGTAGTATTACTCTTGTGATTGTTTTTTTGAAGATTTGTGCAATTTGTATTTCATTTCATGAGCATGGGAAGATTTGAGAATATGTAAATTGACATGTGTTAGGTAAACTATTGCCATGCATATGTAAAGATTTGTGTTCTTTAAAAAAATATGAAGTTTGATACTATTTCTGAGAGCGCTCATAACCCGAAATGACCTGTAACCCTACCCGAAACCGAATGGATTGTGTCAATATTTAATCCGAAATAAGCCAAACCAACATGACCCGACCCGTGACCTGAAACTCCAACTCGAAATTACCCAACCCGACCCGATTGCCAAGTCTAACATGGAAAGATTAATAATCTCAAAAAGGGTCAAATATTAAATGGTCATTTAGAGCATGAGTAATCGGACTAATCTTCGATAAAGGATTCGGTCATGTTTAATTTATGTACTAAAAAGTTTAAGAAATTAATGAGAGCAAAATTATTAATTGAGAAATGATTAGGCTTGTTGCCTAACTGGCTTAAGGATATTAAGTTGAAATGTATTGACGTTGTGGTTAATGGTTCGAAGCATTCTCGACCTGGTATTTTTGGTTCGTTTGGTCAATCGCTCCCCAACTGTATAATCTCCTTTTAGAGCTGATGGAATTCCCAATTTGAGTTCTAATCCAAAGTCCAAACCTTAGCGGCGCCCAAAATCCAGAAACCCTCTCTTCCTCTGTTTTCTCATTTGCCTTCTTCTCCCTCTCGTTCTGCTCTCTCTATAGTCCATTCTGATAATGACGAGAAGAGGGGAGAAAGAAAGACGACAGCGAAGAAGATAAACGGCAACGTTTGATGACGGCCAACGAAGGTAAGTGGTGATTCTTCGCTTGCATGTCCAGGGTAGGAGTTTGATTTGGTTGTTTAAGGTTGTTTGGAGATTCGATCTTTTTGAGTTTAGGATTCTGACTGTGTTTGGTTACTTATGGGGTTTTGGTTCTCGCGAGAGGAAGAAGAAAAGGGTCGCCGACTTGGATTTCGAAGGCGAAGAGCTTGGCGGTGGTTAGGGATGGCAACAAAATTCGAACCCACAGGTACCCACTCGACCCAACCCGGTCAACGCGGGTAAAATCCTTGTTGACGAGTTTTGGGTCGGGTTTGGGTTTAAACCCTTTCACTATTTATCGGGTTGGGTTGGGTTTAGGTAAACCCGACCCATGAGTACCCGCCCACACCCGTATAGTTAATTTTCTCGGTATATTTAATATTCTAAACAACTAATCTTATTTATGTTTGTGGAGACATGTCTAATTTTTTTCTTTCAAATTGTGTAGAATGAAGTTGATATTATCAAGTGGAGAGTGAAGAAACTTAATTGAAAGGAATAAGCTTTCAATTAATCATGTTATTTATGGATAATTTGAGATTTGCTTCAATTTTCTTGAGTTTTCTAGATTGGTGTTGAACAATTTGTATAGTTAATTTGTGATTTGCTTGAATTTTCTAGAATGGTGTTTTATATATGGATAATTTGTATTGAGAGATTGATATTTGACTTTAATTTTGATAGGAACTTGTTATTGTAAATTTTTTATGACAAAAACCCATGGGTACCCATGAACCCACGGATACCCAGCGGGTTGGGTTGGGTTTGAGTTTTTCAAACCCAGTGGGTTTTACCCGGGTTTTTTTCACGAATAAACCCATGGGTTTGGATTTGGCAAAACGCGACCCAACCCGACCCATTGCCATCCCTAGCGGTGGTGGTATCAGTAGGGAGTGGATTTCAATCGGATTTCAATTGTATTTGAAAGATGACATTGTTTGCTTAGTTGAATTTTTACCATGGATTTAGTTCATTTAGTATTTGGGTCTCAAAAATATGCCTTCTAAGATGTGGTATTTGCAAATACCAAATGAAATGTGGTATTTGCAAACACGTGGAGACCACGGATTTGTATACCTCAACAAATAATGTTTTCATCAAATACACAACCCCTTAGTTACTAAAATATTATCTATATTCTATAACAAACCTTACTATAGCTTTTAGGCATGAATAATTTGATATAGCTTCCCCCCTCTTATTTTGACATCTTCATCCCAACTTTTCACTTCTACAATGTTTCCCCTTCCCACTTTTCGTTATTCTCATTTTGCTTTCCCTCTACAATTTGTCCCTACCAAAATGAAAATCCAATGAGGGAAAATTCCCCCAATTCGACCCACCAACGTTTCAATTCCTTTAATATTAAGCCCGATTTTCATCTACCATAAACTATTGTTTATAATATTAGTGTCTTGTCTAGATTTTGCATATGGATATAAATTAGGATTATTGATTGAGAATGACTTGCAAAAAAATTTCATGAAACTTGATTCATATAGTTTTTTGTTAAACAAAAAGTTTATACTTTACTGAGAATTAAGCTTGTAATTTATTATATATATAATTCATGTCTTTTTTTGTTACTCAATTTTGTTTCCCGTTGCATTGCCGCTCAATTTTCTTTTTGCTAAATATATATTGTCGCCTAACTTTTTTATTCCCGCTCCAAAAGGACGCCCAATTTTCGTTTGGATTGATCTATATTACCGCCCAAAAATGTTGAGATAAGAAAAAATGTTCTTCTTCTTTGTTTTCAGAGTGGTGTTTTGTTTTGTTTGCTAATAGTGTCTATTGGTTGCAAATGTTGATATCGTCATTACTATTATCTAGTGCACTTTACCAGTTATGATTAATTACATGACAAGTTTGTAAATCATACAAATTACTTCAACATTTTGATTAGTTTTTTTTATAAATTAAGTATATATATGAGTAGGGCTGGGATTCGGATTTCCAGTTAATGGTTTAACCGGTAACCGTACCGATAACCGCGATTACCGGTTAAACCGTTAACCGGAAGGTAACGGTTGTCGGATGGAAGATTGGGATGGCGGTAATACCGGAACCCGGGTGCCTATTAACCGGCGGCAACCCGGTTATCCGATACCGATTTGCAGGGGGCCGCAGTTGTAGTTCTGCTAATTAGTAAATAATACTCTAGTGTATTAGGGAACGGAATTGGACTAATTAATTACTAAATTAATATGAGACTCTCGCTCTCTACTAAGCTAACCCAACCCTCACGAGTTACAAGTATCCCCGCCCAATTGGAAGTTTGGAACCCCAATCGGTAATCGTGGTCATCTCCGACGCCGGCGCACTCAGACCGACGAGCCACGAGGTAGCAGCCCAGCAGCGCAACCTCTCTGTCGACTCCAGCACCGCGTCCTATCCGTCAGGCGTCAACCCCAGCGCGCTCGACTGCATCGCCGGAGCAGCTTCCTGCTTCCCTGACCGAGTAGCCGTAGCAACCATAACATCGTGCGACTCCGCTTCAGCCTTCAGGTTTGTCTTGTTGCCTTGTTCTGTTGTTGTATGAATTATGATGATGATTGATGTCGGTCCAGTTTCCCCGCTGCAGCAGGCAACAGCTGTGTTGCCTTTTGTTTTTAAATGAACAGATGGATTTGATTTTTACAGGGGACGAGCACACCATTTGAGCTGTAGAGGACTAGAGTAGAGCACGTGTGAACGGAATAAGGAAGAGGGCAAGAGCCAAGAAACAGCAGCCCAGAATTCACTTTTTATTTATTTATATAAATAGAAATCGCTTTGCTTTTCATTTAACAAGAGGAAGTAAGTAGTTGAGTTGTATTAATGGGAAGCAACAACACAATATAAATATATATGGAAGAGATACGTTAGCTTGGGTGATTGTGACTGGAAATGGGAATTACGAATTAGTGGGCAGTGGGCAGGGGCATTGGCGCATTGCCATTACTGCATTTGTGGTGCTTTTGAGTCAACAGGTGGCGTACGCTGGCAGCAGGCAGCACAGCAGCAGGCAGCTAGATACACACATTCGGTAAAACGGGTTACCGTCCAAAACACCGGGACACACTAATTCGGTAACCGGTGTACCGAGCGGAATTCGGTATCGGCAAACGGCGGTGGATATGGGAGTGTAGGTATACCGGTAACCGGTTACCGACCGATTACCACCCCTATATATGAGGTAGAGATAAGTGGGTTAAAAATTGTGGAAAATATTTTAAATTAGTGCAATAAAATGTGTAAGTTGGAAGAGAGTACGGAGTAAATAACTCGATGAGTTGTCCCGAACAAACCGTAACCCAATCCGCCCGCAATCCGCCTGACCCGAAACCGATGAACCCGCAACCCGATTTGCACGTAACCCGATTGAGCCCAAACCCGATGCACCCGCAACCCGATTGAACCTGAACCCTATTGAACCCGAACCGATGAATCCGCAACCCGACGAACCCAAAACCCGACTAACCCGCAACCCGATTGAACTCGGCTAAGTATATATATGAGGTAGAGATAAGTGGGTTAAAAATTGTGGAAAATATTTTAAATTAGTGCAATAAAATGTATAAGTTGGTAGAGAGTACGGAGTAAATAACTCGATGAGTTGTCCCGGATAACCCGTAACCCGATCCGCCCGCAACCCGCCTGACCTGAAACCTGATGAACCCACAACTCGATTTGCTCGCAACCCGATTGAGCCAAAACCCGATGCACCCGCAACCCGATTGAACCTGAACTTGAACCCGAACCGATGAATCCGCAAAACCCGACGAACCCAAAACCCGACTAACCCACAACCCGATTGAACTCGGCACGAACCTGCCCGATTGACACCTATAATTCACACCACACGTTTCTTATCGTCTTCTCTCCTCTTTTGTTACCCAATAATAATAAAAAATAGATTTTTTTCTCTCAACTCTCCCTCTGCCAACTTAGTTATGCTGCTCACAGCATATATTGTGAGTAGATACTCACACGGTGGATCTATTGTCCACGAGGGCGAAACTCAGATGGCGCCGGTTTGGGTTGAGGAAGGTGAGTCGGTTTGGGTCGGCTGGCCAAGCCCACGACTGGCCCACCACAAATTCAAAAATCACAAATTCAAAAACCACAAATTCTTTCCCCAGGTCAGTTTCTCCGCCAGAACCACTTTCCCCTCTCTCACTTTCCTCCTCTCACGAACACGACGAAGAAGCAGTGATTTCACGGCGACCACCAGCGAAGCGGCGGCGACGGACCTGCGAAGCGGCGATGAGCGAAGCGGCGGCGAGGGTGCAGCGTAGCGGTGGTTGGTTTCGGCGGCGGCGACGAGGGTTCAGACTAATCGGCGGCGACGAAGGGCGGGGTTTCGGCGGTGACGAAGGGCGGGGTTTCACGTCGACGAAGCTTGTGTTAACGGCGACGACTTTGCAGACGAATCGGCGGCGACGAAGGGCGGGGTTTCACGGCGACGAAGTAGCGGCGGTTGGTTTGACGGCGATCGTTGAAGAAAGAACTACTTTGTGGACTAAGGTAACTGTCTTATTTATTATGTTCGGCAAGATATGCATTCTGTTCCTTCTGGATATCCGTTGTTTATTGCCTGGGTAGTTGTTTGATGTATCTTGATATTGGTTTTGTTTGAGCATGATATCAGTCATGACTTTCTTGGATAGTTGTTTGATAGGATCTGCACAAGAAGCAGCGAGGTCAAAGCAAGGCGAGGTACAGATTTCGGTGCACTCTAAATCTCTGCTACATGTTATAATCTGTTTTGTGTGCGTTCCAATATTATTTATTTTGATTCTGGATATCCATTGTGTTTTGCTTGGATTGTTTCTTTGATATATCTGGATATCCATTGTGTTTTGCTTGGATTGTTTCTTTGATATATCTGGATATTGGTTTTTACTCAGCATGATATGAGTTCTGACTTGCCTGGATAATTGTTTGATATATCTGGATATTGGTTTTTGATCCGCATGATATCAGTTGTGACTTGCCTGGATAATTGTTTGATATATCTAGATATTGGTTTTTATCAGCATGATATCATTTGTCTCTTGCCTGGATAATTGTTTGATATATCTGGATATTGGTTTTTGATCAGAATGATATCATTTGTGACTTGCCTGGATAATTGTTTGATATATCTGGATATTGATTTTTGATCAGCATGATATAAGTTGTGACTTGCCTGGATAATTGTTTGATATATCTGGATATTGGTTTTTGGCCAGCTTGATATCAGTTGTGATTTCCCTGGATAATTGTTTGATATATCTGGATATTGGTTTTTAACCAGCATGATATCTGTTGTGAATTGCCTCAATAATTGTTTGATATATCTGGATATTGGTTTTTGGCCAGCTTGATATCAGTTGTGATTTCCCTGGATAATTGTTTGATATATCTGGATATTGGTTTTTAACCAGCATGATATCTGTTGTGAATTGCCTCAATAATTGTTTGATATATCTGGATATTTGTACGTGCAGGGATAAAACGAACGTGAAGAGACAGCGACGAAAACCACCGCCACAGCCAGAGGAGGATGAGGAAGAAGAAGATGCTGAAGTCGCAACACAAGTACGTGCACAAGGAGTAAAGACCTTTAGATAGGATTCAGTTTTCAAATACTGATTTTGTATCCGATTCAAGATGTTAGAAGTAAAGACCTTTGCCGTATGTTGTAGGAACGGGCTATCCTCCATCATAATATAAGGAACCGATTGTTTCCCATTGTAGTCTGACTCAGTCTCCTTGCGTCTTTTTTCAGCCAACAAACTACATTTACAAAGCACGAGAAAGAGTTTAGTGCCCAGACTAATATCCACTCAAACCAATACTAATATCCCAACTAAACAAAGTAATATTTAACAATAGCATATAAATATCCGGACAACGCTGAAAAATATCCAAAATTTAAGTAGACTAATATCAAAGAAAGACAAAGAAATATTCTGCGTACCTGCTAAAGTGAATGAAAAACAAGTCCAAATCATTTTCAAGAAAAGTCGCACTTGTGCATTGCACGACTCGCTGGCTTGCGTAGTCAACATCGCGACTGTGAATTGATCTCTCAACCATAAGGAACACCATCAACGACGAAAACCTACAAACATCCCTGCACAAGACAACTATTAATGACAATGCATAACTGAACGAGTGTCGAAAAAAACTTAGGGGAATTAGGAATTGATATTATGCCAACACATGTCAACAAATATCTGTAAAACCCAGACTAGTATCATGCCAACACATGTCAACAAATATCTGTAAAACCCAGACTAGTATCTCATAATGTCATACCAATATTCGTCCTTTTACAAAAAAAAAACCTGTCAGGCCATGTCAATATCGGCCCAAAAAATTGTCCCGACTGTGAATTGATCTCTCAACCATAAGGAACACCATCGACGACGAAAACCTACAAACATCCCTGCACAAGACAACTTATTAATGACAATGCATAACTGAACGCGTGTCGAAAAAACTTGAGGGAATTAGGAATTGATATTATGCCAACACATGTCAACAAATATCTGTAAAACCCATACTAGTATCTCATAATGTCATACCAATATTCGTCCTTTTACAAAAACATATCCTATCAGGCCATGTCAATATCGGCCCAAAAAACTGTTTTATGAGCCTTCGGCCCATGGGCCCTCGGCGGGCAGCCCTTACAAGGCTGCAAGCCACCAGACCCGAATTGTTCCTTCATATTCAACTTCCCGCCCAAAATTTCGGGCCGCCCCCACCAGACCCGAATTTTTCCTTCCTTCTCCAACTTCCCGCCCAAAATTTCGGGCCGCCCAAAAAGCTGCCCACCTCCCGCCCAAAATTTTGGGCCGCCCAAAAACTGCCCACTTTCTCAGCCCAAAATTTTGGCTCGCCCGAAAAAGTGCCCACGGCCTCCCTCCTCTTAGTGAGTATCTACTCACACTTTATGCTGTGAGCAGTTTAACTTTTGCGCCCTCTGCAACCCTCCAAACTTCTTCTTCTTTTCTCCATTGCTTCCTCTGCGAAGGAGGAGGAGCGGCATCAGGAGGCGAGGAAGAGGTGGCGGATGAGCGGACTTGGGTGGCGGATGAGCGGACTTGTCGGCCATCACCGGCAGCATGTCTTCAGGTGGCGGACGAGCGACGCAACGCAAAGGCGGAGGCGATAATGGTGGTGGCTGTTGGAAGAAGATGGCGATTCTTGAAGAAGGGTCGTGGTCGGCGAGGCGAGGGGAGACGGCAGTCGACGGGGGTTGGGAAGGGATGAGGCATCGTGATTCGTGAAGGGTTTGGAGGGTGGAGGGTTGAAGGCGGTGGGGGAGACTGAGAATGAGAGGTGAGGTCGATGAAGGAGGCAGGTAGGGTCGGTAGATGGTTTTAAAAAAAATTAGATGAAAATTGCTGAATCGGCGGTGTTTTGATGGGGAACGACGCCTTATGGACATTGAAGGGGTCGGTCGGTTAGCTTCGGTTATTCGGCTAACCGAAGCAACCAAACTCATTGCCGACAACCGACCGCGTTTGATAAACTTTGATTTTCGGTTAGCCGCTAACTGACATTTATTGGTTCAACCAGACGGTTAGCGTCTAATGGGAAACCGAACTGAAACCCCTAGGTATCGAGAAGAAGAGCCGAGGGAGAAGACAAGTCTTCAGCAGCGAGCTTCGGTGACAGCGCCGACGACTGACACGACGAGGAGGTTAGTTAAATTTAATTTTTATTTCGAATTTGGATTTTGGATATTGACTCGTCTTGATTATTTTTATTGTCTGGGTTTAATGGTTCGGCTGAGGGGGAAGAGACGGAATTAGTTCTGATAGGAGAGAAAGGAAAGGTTGTTGTCGGAAGCTCTGAGCTTCGTCGGTGATAATACCAATTGCCAAGGGGAACTTTTCTTGTGGTGGGTTTTGGAATGGTGCTATTTGTGTGCTGAGATTGCCTGTTGTATTTGTGGATTCTGAGAAATCGTGGGAGTATACCTGGCTTTTGGGACTAAAATTATGCCTTAGTTTTGTTGTGGTTGATTTCTCTTTGTTGTAATTGGAAATATGGGTATGTATGTATGGTAATTTTGGGAGTTGGTTGTATACTTGATGAACTGTGGGTGTGTGATGGTGAGGGATTTTGTTTGGTGGTTTTGGTATTTCGGGATTAATGATTGGTTTATGTCGTTCGGTTTAATTTGAATGATTTGGGTGTTGGTATTTTGAGTGTTTGATTCTGGAAATATGTATATTGTGGGTTCTGGTTTCAAGTTTGTGGGTTTGACTGGTATTTGGGGTCACTTTTCAGGGTTTTCAGTTTTCATGGTTTGAGAACTCAAATTTGATCATTTGATAAGATGGGTTCCGAATGGTTTCTTTTTGGATTAATGAGTGGCTTTGTAAATCTGTGACGGTTTTGAATCAAGGAGTCGTGTGGTGTTTATGGTGGAGGTGTATTATCTTGAGATTGATGTTTATGGTTTTTAAAAAATATGACTCCATATTCCACTTTGCTTTGGTATTTTGATGATTTAAAAGAGGGGCTCAAATATGAAAAGTGGTATGTTGTGTTGTATTTGGTTATTGGTTTTTTTGAAAATAGGCAGAGGATTTAGAAATAGAGGGGAGCCCTTTAAGTGAAAGAAAGGTATTTTGAAATAGCTTCCAATATCGAATCAAATTAATGGTCTCGATGGGCATGGTCATTGGCGGAGCCAGGAAATTGGCCAAGGGGGTGTCTTTATCATATCATAAAAAAATCACCTATACAATAGAAAAGTCAACTTTAAATTAAACAAAAAGTCAACAACGCAATACTCTAAATTCACACAATTACATCAAAATAGTTTCACGTACACCGGTTACAACGTCAAACAAATAAGTTCAGTAAACACAAATCAAGACTTCCATTCATCAAATATTACAAATTAGAACTCAGAAGTACCTTGGAATTGATTTTGTGAAACAAACAAGTGAACTTCAATTGGTACTTCTTCACTTTCAACTTTGTTTAAACAAAAGACAAGAAATTTCTCTGTTGTAGAGCTACAAAAAAAAAATGAGCGAGTTTAAACAAAAGACAACAATTTATTACTATAAATAAAGACGAAAGTGCATTACATAACAAAACTCACTCGATCGAAATGATAAGAAATTCTTCCTGCAACTGAATGGTCATTGGTTGGAATTTGTATATACCCCTACTCGGAATTTTTTTCTCCAAATCAGGGGGTGCAAAGCACCCCTCCTCTCCAAGTGGCTCCGCCACTGGGCATGGTTTAAAGAAAATGGTAGAAGTAGAGATGAATGAACAAAGATATTGATGGATGAAGATGATTTGTTATATATGATTACCAACCTTTGTACTTTGTAGTTTGTAGGTGTCTCTGCTTTCTTTCCTAGCTTCTGGGAGGGTTTGCTGTTACCTTCTTTCGTTGCATGCTTCCCCTTTTTGTATTCTTGTCTCCGTTCCTTATTGTATTCTTGTCTCCGTGGATGGTACGAAGAAAATGAGTAGAGAAAATGTTCATTTTCTTTCTGTGTTTTAGGGGTGGATGGAATTTCTATTTGTGCGTGTTGAACTTTGTTGTTTGTGTGTGAGTTTTGAGCAAGAAGATGAAAGTTTAATGTCGTTTTTTTCTTTTGTTTAGGATCCTTGTGAGTGAAGGGAATTGGGAACTTGCAGAGTTTCTTCTCTTCTATCTTTCGATTGTGAGAGAAGAAGAATTTTTTGTTTATTGTCTGTCAGTTTTGTCGTGAGAAAAAAGAAAGAGGACGCAGGGGAGTAACTGGTGGTTGTTTTTAGAAAGAAAAAGGCAGAAGACGCTCCGTCCCCCCTTCATCCAGTAGCCCAAGAATTTGTTTTACAGAGAAAATCCTACAGTATAAACACTGTTGAGCTTGGGGTGTTGCATTGTAATTGGTGGTAGGGTGGAAGGCTCCTAGGTAGCTCTACTGTAGCAAACAGTAGATGCTCTGAGTTTTGGGTCGGACCAAGTATGGGTTAGGTCAGACCTGGACTGGTTGACTTGGGATTCCTTGGGCCTGTTAACTTTTAACTGACTGGGCTCGTTTAGTGGTTGGGCTTTGACTTTGACCCTTTGCTTTGTACAACTTACTATTGTAGTTAATTGTATGTGATTGTTAATTATAATGTACTTATTTTATTCCTTATAAAGAAGTTATTTTTCGTTATGGTTCTTTCTTTATCATCCCAAAGTTGAGATCCAAATCCCAAACTGGTTTAATCTTTCAAATTTAGACTACGACTCATTCCAAACACCGCAAATACGATTTTAGCTAGGAGATTGTTTAAGATTCGCTATTGCTAACCTAAAACAATTCAAGTTTTCAACTCCTTTTATTTCGGGTAAATAATTAGTAAATCGCCCGGACAAAATGTGGTGTCTACAACACCATTTTGGGTGTTATCAATGACGATCAAGATTTTTGTGGAAGAAATGGGAAGAGCAAGGGATTTTGCTTTTATGGAAGAAGAAGTGGGAAGTGCGTAGGGAGAAGGAGAGTTGAAAGTGGGTGGGTGAAGGCTTGTGATTCATTTTATGGAAGAAGACGAGAATAGGGAAGAGCAAAAGATTCCTCCTAAGAAACATGGGCATCGAGTGAAAAGAATGAGCACCAAAGTGTTTAATTATTATTGGATGGGATTGAGCAGGAGAGGAGAGGGAAAAATAGGTGTCGAGTGAAAATTTTCAATTTTGCAATGTGGAGCCAAATTTTTTGAAAATTTTTGTGTCGGTTCGAAATAAACCGACACAAATTCAAGAGGAATTGTGTCAATGAGATAAGTACCCGACTCAAAAGGTTGAAGAATTGTGTCCATTCTAACATAATCGACACAAATCCAAAGAAATTTGCGTCGGTTATAGCTTAACCGACACGAACTGAGAAATTTTGAGTCATCGTATAACTGACACAAAATAGGAAAACCAAAAATTTAGTGTTGGTTAAATGAACTGACACAAACCAACCGACTCTAAACCAATGTTATTTTGTAGTGGATAACCATGACATTTCCTAGACCTAAGTGGCTTAGTTGGTAGGCTAGCACACATGCTGAACCCAACATTTGCAACCATTCCTTAAGCAACTAGATAGTCTCCAAAAAATCATTCATGCTATCCTTGACATGAAAAGGATTCATTCACTAGCTTAGACTATAAATACTACCTAAATCAAAATCAAACATGGAAGTTTATTATTTAAAAGGGCAAAGGAATGCAAACCACTTGTTGGGGTACCTCCCAACAAGTGCGTCTTTTAAGTCTTATCGTCGGACGATTGTCTTCAAGTACTCGGTCCAAATTAAAACCTTCTTGAAGTTCAGGTTCTCGTTGGTGCGTTGGTGTCTCAAGTCCCGAGCGTTGAATGCTTCAAATGATGTGGATGAGTCGTGGCTTGGTGAAATTTTAGTCTCCACCCATGAGACCTCTTCTTTTTGCTACCTTCGTTCTTCTCTTTGCCATATACCATATAGTGTATCATTGATTGACCACAATTGAATCCACCAAGACGGATTCATGATGGTGTGGTCTCTGGTAGGCGAAGAGGACATGCAAAAGGGTCTTTCTCTAAGAGTGCATCGAGGTTGGGTGTAAGGCTTTGGTAGCACGTGTAACTTGTTGAAGCTTTATCCATTGCAACCTCATCCACTGATCGGAATCCAATTGCATTTGTAACCTCCTCTCCTTCTTGTTAAGAATCTTCCCCGTGTTGAGTACCAAACTATTTTTCTTCAATCACTCCTTCCTCCCTCACAACCTCATCAATGCTCCCTTCTTTATCTAATAGTACTTGTTGATTGGGAACAATGATGGTCTTCCAAGCAAGTTCTTCAATATATGGATCATCAAGGTCCACTAGCTTGTTCACCTTCGAGACTTCTTTCTCATGTACCCATTACTCTCTCGCTTCATTGATGGTGTTAAGGAGGCAATCTTGATTGAGTCTCGAACAAAGGTGTTAAAGTTCTCTTCTCTTTTTTTTTCCAACCTCTTTAGCATTTTGTCTTGTTCAATGAGGAATTCTTGAGTAGAAGGGTTGGGATCACCTATATTGGGAGGTGTTCCTTCGGTCTCCACCTCTTTGAGCCACATTTTCTCTCAATCAAGGTCTTTGATGTGGTGGCACCCAGTAGGAATGTTGGGATCCCTTACATCTATGCACTCCATTGGGAGGTTGAAGCGCTCGGATGCTAGCTCTATAACGCTCTTGGGCTACGGTGGTGGTGGAAGATAAAGTGTCCTCTCACTCCGGGCCATGAATTCTTCAAATACGAGCTCTAAAAGGCTCTTTGGTTCCGGAATTGGAGTTGGGTGAGTTGTTTCAATGCCCTCCACTTTTTTCGTACTCTCTTCAAATCGCTCTATGGCCATCTCCAACTCGGTCTTCACCCTAGGTTGTGGAGGTGGTTCTTCATGTGATGGTGGTGAGGTGAGGTAACCATGGTGGTATGAAAACAACTCACAAAATGAAAAAGAACCCTAAATCCTACAACCCAAAATTTCCAAAAGCCCAATACAAAAATAACCTCATCAGGAGACACCTCCACGTAATTGAAAACAAAGGACACACAGTTAACGATCAAGTAAAACTCGAGCTATGACGTAGAGGCGCAGAAGGTCAACTGGGTTTAAATTAGCTACAATCTTGAAGGCTGACTCATTTTCAAGGGATGGGAAATTATGGAAATGTGTCCTTTTATATTCATTATTATTTTACGAATGTTTTGTGGGTTTTGGGTACTTTTATGATTACTAGTTTTCTTGCCCGCGCTCCACGCCGGGATGAGAGTTTTTTTTATCCAAGACAAGCCCTAGGGCATAGCTGGAAAACACAATTACAAGATAGACACTAATAAAGAACGGTAGTCCGTATGCAACCGAACTCCCGATAAAAGAGCCTGTTTTGCCACGAGGTGGGCAGCTCTGTTGAAGCTCCGAGGAGCAAAGAGAAACGAGACTTATAGAAAGGAGGAAAGGAGAGAGTTAACTTCCTCTAGTATAGCTCCCGCTCTTGAATGTAAAGCCTTTCTTGATGTCACATCCTTGATGACCAATTGAGAGTCCCCATAAAAAACAACAGTCAATAAGTTATGGGTGAGACACCATTTCATAGCATCACGAATAGCAAGTAATTTTTATATATAGGCATCTGTGATGCCCTGATAGAATTTACCAACTGCAAATGAGATATTTTCATCACCTGAAAAGCCAACGAAGCCAGTTGAACATCCTTGAGGGATTTTTGTAGCCCCATCGAAATGAACTAGGATACCGCCACTAGGGAAGGTAACATATGTTCTCCTTGAATGAGGACCTTGTCCTGTGGAAGAGTGGGGGGGTTGACCTTTGGACTTCTTCGGATCTCTAAGCCTTTTGTGTCTCTGCCGTTTTCCATTCCTCCACCTGCGCTTATAGTTGCATGTATAGAACTTGTGGCTTGTATAAAATGTGACCATAAGCAGCCTTGCATCGACCTTTCCATATTCTCCAGAATAAGAAGACTATGAAAGCTACATCATTCTTGGAGATATGGGGCGTGAAAAAGAGGTTTCTCCACGCAAGATCCATAGAAATTGTCTTCATCATATCTATTATATGGTCTAGGTCTGATAATGTCCACAGTTCTCTAGTGATTCTACAGTCAAAGAAGCAGTGCTTGAAGTCCTCATTTACCTCGCAGCAAACGGGACATATACTTGATGAAATAATTTTCTTATAAAGGAGGATTCCTTTCACTGGTAGAAATCCACGCATCAATCTCCAAAGAAAGAATTTGAGTTTAGTAGGTATTGGAATATTTAACATGTATTTCCAGAATTTGGTGTTCAAAAAGTCTGGAAGGGAGTTCATGGGTGAAGTTAATACAGTCGAAAGGAGATGGTACATCGATTTAGCTGTATAGTGACCATCCAAAAGTAATAAAAAGTAACTAATTCAATTAAAATCAGGTACACACTAAATTGAGTTATGAAACTACCAGACACATTCCATTTGATTCTCCGAGCAACAACTGCACTGAGCAATTCCGGAAAAAATCATTTTAACAACCAAAAGCAGATATTATAATAAAAAACAACCAAGTGATTCGGGCCTAATTGAACACCTTTTGTTCTCGTTTCTCTTTGACGTTTGTTGCAATTGAACTCCAAAAGGGGTGGTTTTACGCTAGGTTTCTTGTGTTTCATATTCTAACAGGTGAAACCAACACCGGAGTCAAAAGTTGGAAGAAAAGGAGCAAAGACCGACCAAAGAGGAGGAATCTGCTTGTGTTCATGGTCTACCATTGGAGTTCACGGTCGCCAGGACCGTGAACTGGAACCACAATCCGTGAACCAAGAAGCGTACATAGGGTTTTTGAGGTTACTGGCGCTAAGGCGGTTCACGGCCGCTTAGACCGTGAACTGAAACCACAAATCGTGAACCCAAGAAGTGAAACGGTGCGTTTTGGTTCAGCACACTGTGTTCACATACGGGTTTTGATGTTCACGGCCGTGAACTTTGGCCGTGAACAAGGCACGATCTCATTATAAAGAGCTAGATGAAAGGAAGAAGAAAGGGGAGAGACCTAGTGTGAGAAACTTCTTCTTCTTCTTCTTCAGATTTCTAGAGTGAGAAAGTGACGAACCAAAGAAGAGGAGAAGTTAGGGTTTCATCTCCAAGCAAGGAATTGGGAATTCCTCCCCCAAAGGAGGATCTCTTCAACACAAGGAGCAAGGCTAGCATCTCTTTGATGGTTTCCCTTTTTCTCTCTTGTGTTTTCCCTTCTCTTAGCATGGAATAGTCCCTTCTTTCACTTGGGTATTTGTAAACCCTAGCTAACATTATGTAAATGCTTGTATGAATTGAATGGTTTGTGTGTGGTTGTGTTTAATGTGAATGTGGAGGTATTATTCATGAATGATTGTGTTGTGTGAAAGCTTATCAATCTACTTGCCATTCTAACCTAGGTAGAGAGAACCCCCCCCCCCCCCCCCTTCCTTTCTTTGAAAGAGGCTTGAATGTTGGGTTTTCTTGGGCAATTCATTGTCTCCTAGTTAGGGTAATGTCGGGCAAACCTCCTATTTCGTATTAGCACCTAGGGTTTGGTTGTGGGTGGCCGTCCGAACTACAATTCGAGGGTGAGGTCTAACCATTCTTTAGTTAATAGGTTGAGAGAGTCGCATTAATGGCTTGGATCGTATCCCCTTCCTCGACCAAGAGACTAAGATAGAGTGGTGCTTGGCTACTTGTTGCACTTCCCTACGGTTTACAACTGCCTCACCACACACAACCATACGATCCAACAAGTCGTAATTATTAGCTAGGGCAAACCTCTTATTTCGTATGAGCACCTAGGGTTTGGTTGTGGGTGGTCGTCCGAACTCCGATTCGAGGGTGAAGTCTAACCAATCGTTAGCCAATAGGTCGAAGAGTCACGTTGGTGGCTTGGATCAAATTCCCTTCCCTCGACCTAGAGACCGAGACACGAGCTACTTGTTGCACTTACCTACGGTTTACAACCCCCTCACCACACACGACCATACGATCCAACAAGTCGTAATTGTTAGCTATCGGGAACAATACCCGGTGAACTCTTCTCTCACTGGAACAACCTCGATTTACTTTACTTGCTTGTTTTCATTTGTAGGTTTCTTAGTTTTAAACCATAAAACGTTTGCTAAATAACAAACTAAGTGATTGAAGTAGGGGTACATGGTTCGGACCGGGTTTGACAACTAAAACATACTTGCTCTATACTGCACCCGACTAGAGTTTATGCTTGAGCTCTAGTCGGGATTTAAAATGCGGTTTGTGGCGAGTCATCCACCAACATCAATCATCCACTGCTTATAGTTTGATTTATTTGCGGGTGGATAGATATCAACCAGCAGATTAACCACCTATGTGCCCACCCCTACGATCATATATTCACGATTCGCACTCATATTTCACAGTTACAAAACTTTATCAATATCATGCAATTCGACCACCATACACAAATTGTTCATATGCTATCATAGTTCACGGGACAAGTTTCTTATTCTACTTAGTTACTAAACTATACCAATGTTTAATTTTCTACTACATATTAGTAATACACAATTATTTCATGTGTGTTTAAACATTATCGTAAGGTACAAACTTTACTATTTTAAAGAAAAATCAATTTCCGTCCAACGGGCTGGGCTCAAAGCTAGTATACATATACAACTTGTAGGTAGTATGTATAAGTTAAATTTGGTTAAACTTAAATGACCCACTTGTCAGTTACTTTTTCAAATCGTGGGTTCCATAATCCACTACCTATTTTCTAACATATTTGAGCCTTTAATTTAAAAGGTCATTTTTGTGGACCGTTGGACGGAAACGGAGGACCATTCTCCCAATCCCAACTAGTGGACCATATCCTGGTTGCCAATCTCCTCAAGTCTCTCTGTTAATCACCATCAACACACCAACAGTTCTCTCTCTTTTCTTGCCTCGGTTCCAACCTCCTCAAACCTCTCCAATGTCCCCTCCCTTCTGTCTCTCTATATAGAAAGCACGATTTCCCAAGCAACCCTTCATTGTCCTATGACACATGAGGCTTTCTAGATACTTGGTAACCAACGCAAAGCCTCCATGACCACACAAAACAAACCAGAACGACCAGCTGGACAGCCAACTAGAGGTCCCATCAATTGTCATGCAAATAGTAAAAGTAAGTCAAAAAAATGCCTCACCTCACCTGCCGTCAATTTTTCTGGTTTCTCTCTCAGCGTCGTCCAGTCCTCTCACTTACGTTTTCTAGACACAAAATAAATACCTAGTCTCCATCACCAAATCCTAGGCTTTCCCAGGGTCCCGACTACCAACGCGCATACCACTGAGCCAAACTAGACTGTCACCCACGTGAAAAGTGAAACGTATCTGAATGTACAGTACCAATTGTATTGAGCTATTATACTTTTAATTCTAATTTTTAGAGTATTGGATATTTTGGTTGAATGCTTTGTGGGTTTTGGGTACTTTAAGTTATTTGTAGCATTGGATATTTTTTGTAAGTATGTGAATCATAAGTAGTCAACGGGAATTGTCAGACCGTATATGTTTGATTCTGTATTTTTTTTTATTATAAAGGCGGCACCGGTGATGGATAAACCATGCTAGAGATACAGCAGCTCCTAACTTACAAGTTACAGCCACCTTAGGGGACTACAGGGGAGCAAAACAAAATAGGGATAGACAATAAGTTAGTGACGGTGAGACAACAACCATCGCAACAAAAGCAAACACGAACCAGGGGACCAAAGTGTCATCAGGCTGAAAACAACCCGGAATCTTAGGAACCAGATGAGCGTGCCTCGTCGTGAACTTGTTCAGTGTCCTGCACAATGTGTCTCTGGAGGCTGACCCCGACATATCTTCTCGAATGATATGTTGTAACAGGACAGGGGGTCCGGTAGTTCAACATACCCGAAGGGATAGATGAGATTGTGCTTTAAGAGCCAGTCCGCAGCTCTATTCCCTTCACGGTATGTGTGAACTAATCTGACCATCCATCCCTGCACAATCTGTCTACAAATGGCTCCTAGTATCGTGGCCAGGTGATGAACAACATCCGTGCTCTTGTCGATCAACTCAATGGCCAATTTCGAGTCCTTCTCAACGATCAGTAATCTGAAGCCTTTTTCCATGCGAGTTCCAGTCCTTGCAGAAGACCCCAGAGTTCTGCAGCAATCGGTGTACCATAGCCAATTTTGCTGCAAAATGATGGAAACCTACTTTTTAGGTTTAACCATAATTATCAATATTAATATTATTAGGATTTATCTAGATATTGTTATTAGTCTTTGAGCCATACTAGGATAGTCTATTAGGTTTTTCTAGTCTTTCGCTATAAATATGTAATTGGTATTTCATTCATGGGCAGTCAAGAAGAATATTAAGAAACCCTCTCCTAAACCCTACTCTCTCAACCCTCTCAATTCTCGTTCCCAATCACTCTCAAGGCCTAGGCCGATTCTCTATCTTTCTCTTCTCAAATCCCTAATTCTGTTCATAATCTCTAAATCCCAAATTCTCGATAGAACCCTAATCTCAGGTTCTATCAATTGATATCAGAGCCAAAATGAGCTCCTCGTGGCTATCTGATCCAGTGTGGACCCGTATCATACAAAAACTTGATGCTATTTGCGCTGACCAAGCTGCGGCGGCGAGCGCACGTGGCAGGGGAGCAAAGGCGGCGAGCGGCACGGCGGGGCTGCCCAAGGCGCGGGCCAGGCAGGCGACGGCGGAGGCGCAACCGCGCGAGGCGCCGCGGGTTGCGGCGGCGGCCAACGGGACGGCGCTGCTCCATGAGGACGGCGGACCGAGGCGGCTGTCGACGAAGGGCGACCGCGGGGCCACGACTGCTGTGGCGGCACGGCAGGGGGAGGCTCCGCTGGCCTAGGCGGCGGATCGGCGGCGGGCATCACCTAGCGCAGCGGCAAGTGAGCCGCAGTTGACGACGATGATCGGCGCGGGAGTAGCAGTTCTCACTGTCGTCGCTCCTACTTCTGCCGCTGCTATAATCTCAGAGGAAAAGGGGTCGGGTGTGGCGTCGACCGTTGCGATGGAGTCGGCGGTTGGGGAGATGGCGACGAGGGCAAGGCCAGAAGTATGTCGATCCCTAGCTTGCCCGCCGGTCGATCCGTCGCCAAGGAAGAAGGAGACGAAGGTGAAGAGCTCGGCACCAGAGATGGTGAAGAAGTCGACGGCGGATGCGCGATGGCCTCCGTGCCGCCGGGAGAGATGCTTGCAGAAGGAAAGAGAGCTGACGTACATGGAGTGGAAGAATGGCGACGGTTTTCTTTCATCTGGAACCCTAGACCGCACCATCCAGCAGGCCTAATTCGTGGGCCAAGATAAGCGGGCCAAAAAATCAGATGAGGGACGGGTGGGTCTGATTATGGAGGTGAGCAACTGGAGCTTGGATTTCGGGATGGGCCAACCGAACCAGCCTACTGGAGTTGGAAATTTGGCGAATTGGGCTCTATTTGAGCCATGTTTTGGGCCGCGTCTACAGGTTTCAATTGGGCTTCAACTAGGCTGTTTAGTTGAATCTCATAATTATGGAATGGGCTTGAAGGAAAAAGAACAAAAATTCGGAGGCTTAAATGGTGGGTCCAAGGAAGAACAACTCTTTGATTCTTACTTGGTGGAGCTTGACGAGCTAGAAGTCGACGTGGGGGAAAGCATTGGTTATATGGTGAAGTGTGAAATAGAGGACTTGTACTCATTGGGTCGTGAGCATTATGACATAAGTTATGTGCTGACAGGAGGATCAATAAAAGTTGAAGCTGTTAATGTTGGATTCGTTCGTGAGCTTGAGCCTGATTGGAGGAAAAGGAAGCGCAAGAAATGGAGGAGTCAAAGCGCGGTTTGTACGAACGATGTGAAGAAGTGGGTCGAGTTGGTCAACCTTGAGGGCAAGGTTGGTTTTCAAGGGGGAGGGGATGATGGAAACCTACTTTTTAGGTTTAACCATAATTATCAATATTAATATTATTAGGGTTTATCTAGATATGGTTATTAGTCTTTGAGCCATATTAGGATAGTCTATTAGGTTTTTCTAGTCTTTCGCTATAAATATGTAATTGGTCTTTCATTCATGGGCAGTCAAGAAGAATATTAAGAAACCCTCTCCTAAACCCTACTCTCTCAACCCTCTCAATTCTCGTTCCCAATCACTCTAAAGGCCTAAGCCGATTCTCTATCTTTCTCTTCTCAAATCCCTAATTCTGTTCTTAATTTCTAAATCCCAAATTCTCGATAGAACCTAATCCCAGGTTCTATCACAAAATCCCCCAGCCACTTCCATTCTCATCTCGAATTAACCCACTTGTTGACGCTACGCCATGATTCCCTTGGGCGGCTCCATCCGTATTTAACTTGCACCAACCGCGGCGAGGCGGTGACAAACCTATGTGCACCTCTATACGGCTTGGTTTGAGGCTCTTGTCCAAGTCTTTGCTAGCAGATTCCCACGCCTTCGCCAACTTCTTTGCTTTGACCGAATTGTAGTTCTGGAGGGTTGACTGTGACCAAAATTTTCCTTTAAACAAGCTATAATTCCTGTATTTCCATATATACCATGATACAAGGCATAAATAGCTTACCCGCTCGCTCGTCCAATCCACATTACAAGAGTCCTTTATGTTTCACCTTAACCAGTCTTCCTCATCATCTGCAAAAAAAAAAACATACTATCGTTGTGGGGCACCACTCTACTCCACACGTACCTAGCCTTCTTGCAGTCCCGGGACAAAGAAGGTTGGTCTCTGTCACGCCGTTACAGCTCGGGTAGCTGTCATTAGTCGTGAGATGCCTGAATTTTCTCACACTGTTAGTTGAGAGTCTTATTTTCAAGGCAATCCAGATGAACATCCTAACCCTTTCTAGTATATGAAGATGCCAGATTTTCTTCCACACGGCTGGGGTTTCTGAGGTTGGGCTGTGCAACAACGTTTTAAAAGCAGAATTTGTTGAGAATTGACCATTAGCCGATGGTCTCCACAACAAGAAGTCGCCTCCGCGGATATTGGATCCACTAGCAACGTTCAGATTTTTGTCGTCATCTCTGGCGGTAGCAGCTGCTCTAGTATATCCATCCTTCATCCATGTTTTACATCCCAGAAGTCTGCAACTTTCTTCTCTTTAATTTCCTCGTGAACCTCTTTCGTCGCCATGGTGATCAAAGGAGCCTGCAAACCCAAGAATCATACCAGAAATGACGGTAGGGGTGTCAAAATGGGTTCGGGTTTTCGGTTTAACCCGAAACCGAAACGAAAAAGAAACTTGATGGGTTCGGGTTTTCGGTTTCAACCCGAAAGTGTGATGCTCCGGTTTCGGTTTCACTTTAACCCGAAAAACCCGAAGATGTAATTTGGACTCTCATCCTTCTTTTCGCGGGTTCCCTTCGCAAGAGGAGACGAGTCGACACTCGACTATTCTTCGCTGGACATCCCTTCGCCGGAATTAGGGAAAAACTCAAAAAATTAGCCGGCGAACTCATCCTTTCCTTCAAGAACGAAACTTTCCCCGGCGCCGCATCTGGGTACCACAACTCTTCTCCGATCTGGTTTTAGGGTTTCCCTGGCTTCTTGATTCAGCTCTTGGCTTCATCGATTTCTCCCGACTTCATTGATTTAGCTCAATGAATCACATCACCAAACAAAGAGAGGATGACGGGGACAATGTTGATGGTCGATGGCGTTGGGAGCCCAGGAAGCATAATAAAGTGGCAAGGAGGAGGCAGGCACGAGCAGTTTCCTTTGCCCAAAGACAGAGCTGACAACCGCGAAGAGAGGAATTTGGGATTAGGCTGCAGATCCAGTCGATTTGCATGGAGAAGAGATTGATAGAAGTAGAGAAGGCAAAGGCATGTTTCCATGTCTTCTTCCTTTACGGAGCCTACGGGGGATGTGGAGTCCATAAATCTCTACCGCAGGGGGGAAATCAATGAGATACTTCGGTGGATTTGAGGAATTTACTTGAGATTGACGGCGACGAAGAGGTTGAGATGGTGGCCGGTAGTGATTGAAGTTAGGAAAAGGGATCCGCTACCCAGATGCGGCAATATGCTTTTCGGGGGAATCAGTGAGGAAGCTAGGGGAAAGGGAGAGAAGCGTATCACAGATGGGTAGAGAGAGCATTCCAATATTTTACGGTTTTTGGGTTGCCTTTACCCGAACCGAAACCATTAGTGCATATTTCGGGTTCGGGTAACCGAAACCCATTAGTGCTGCTTTCGGGTTTGGTTTCGGGCATGCAAGTAACGGGAAGACTGAGTTTTGGGTTTTTTCGGGTTCGGGTTTGGGTAGGCGACCCGAACCGACATACGTAGTTGGAGGTTTTTTCGGGTTCATTGCGCAATTCTTACGCACAAGATCATATATGTAGTTGGAGGTTGACCCGCTGACCTGAACTATGGCAGAAGTCTTCCAGGATGCCTTTAATCACCTCAATTTGGTTACTTTCTGCATTGGCAAATAGAATCAGAACATCAGCATAAAACATGTGCGAGACCTTTGGTCCATCTCTCGATAAAGAGAGGTCTCTGAATCTTCTCAGCTACTGCCTGCTCAATTTTATGAGAAAGACGTTCAATGCATAAAACAAATAGATAAGGTGAAAGGGGGTCTCCTTGACGAACTCCACGAACCGGGATGATCTCGTCGGTAGGTTGCCCGTTTCGATTTACTCGAATTCTATTTTGCTCAACACAAAACATGATTTGGTTAATCCAAGTGCTCGGGAGACCCACTTCATACAGCGTATCCCTGATGAAGCTCCAAGTCTATTGTAGGCCTTCTCCAAGTCTATTTTGATCACGACCCTCTTACTCCTAATTTCCTTCTCAAAGAGTAAAGGACTTCCTGGAGACCGAGGATGTCGTTGGTTTGCGTCCCCAGAATAAGCTGCTTTGAGTCAGGGCGGCGATCTTCTGCATGATAGGCTTCATTCTATTTGCAATTGCCGAATATTGAAGAATAAATTTCAAGCTCTATCATGAGACCGTTCCTCTCGTCCACCATTCTTCTCTTCACCGAATCCTTCATCAATCCCAATTTCGTTCTAATTCGATCTCTGAATCCCCCTACCTTGTTCTTATCCTCCCTCTTTGAGCGACAGCACCAATCTTCCGTACGTCACACTGGACCGGCATCAGCTTAGTTAAAATGGCAGAACTTAAGAATTAAAATTAAAAACCAAAATAGTGTGCCAGAAACTCCTATCACTAAGTATCGCGGCAACTTCAACAAATACTTACACGAAAGCTATAGGATTAATTCACAAGGGAGAACACCAACGAAACTGAGATGGACAAACAAAAACTTCACCCTATGATGACCCAATATAATAATTCTGTAACAGTACTCCCAATTCCCAAATCAATCCCATTGACCTTCAGTAAAAATCAAACACTCGGAGAAAAGCAACTATATGTTACACAGTCTAAGAACTTAACTTCCTAAGGGCTCTCGTTTGGGTACTGCCATGGGTTGAATTCTAAGGACTGGATGTCAGTTACTTCTTCGACTGTTTCGGAGGAGGTGTCTATTGCAGCCCGGTGTTCTGTATACTTGCCATTGTAGTGGTATAGTTCCAAGTCGCCCCAAGGAGTCGGGTGGACTTCATTGGTTTGATCAAACCATTTGGGAGTGAATTGTTCTCCTTTAGCCTCTCTTAGCCTCTTCTCAGCTCGTTGTCTCTCCTCCAGTCTGAAATAACATTTAAGAACAATGGTTACTCCTCACCTCCCATATTTTGTCAATAAAAGAGGGCTTGATGATCACTCTGCCATTATTATATGTATGCACAAACCTGCTTTTCTCTGCACCGGATTTTGATAGGTCTCCCTTTTCAAGAGCATATCTATCAGGGCGTAGACGGGAATCTGAAGGCAATAACTTCTTGGGAGCAGTGTCGAAGCTGTTCATCTTGTGTGCAAAATATGTGTACTGATATTTGTCATTTTTGGGAGCCTCTGCCACTCGCCACACCTAACAAAGTGCAAAAACATCACCATACGGTCAATTTGCTTGTACAAAAAGTTCATAAGCCCATAGTCAAAATGTTATCTTGACTCGCAACCACATCTCAAACAGTCAGCAGCCAGTGTTCATTAAATCACATCTTCCGCATAAAATTGACACCATGGCAACGATCATCTTTGGTACACAAGAGTGAAGCCTAAGCTTTGGGGAAGCAGAAGATCTCAGAACTCGAAAATGTTTATAATTTATTAGGCTGTAGAAAGGACAAGCACCAAGTACCACAAAAGAAACCCTAAATGTCAGCAATATCAGTTGTGCCTATAAATAAAACAGAACCTCAACCTTAACCAGTGCAAAGTTCAACACAAAAAAAAAAAAAGATTGATTAAGAACCACAGCATCCAGATGAAATTTATGTGCTACAGTAAAGACATATTATGTCTCTATCAGAAATTCAAATATATTGCATTCACCACACTAATAATCTTTTATGGTCCGCTGGGAAACAGAACATACCTCCTGTAGCTCAGTACCAGCACGCGGTTCTCCTTCCAGGTCACAGAGTTGATAACTCATGGCTTCATTCCATTTCCCAGTCATCAATATCTTGGGTTCCTCATCAGCATTGTACACATAGCCATCCACTTCGTAACGGCCAGTTCTACAGGAGTTCAAACCAAACAAGAATGAGCGTAACATATTACAACCCTGATAGAATGCGTACACTAATCAAAAGATAAACCAGCCTTGAACTGTAAAATGGGCTTTTAAGAAAGGAAACGATGGATGAGCATTGCATATGAAGACAGTATCTTACCCAAACCATCCACAAGGTTGAAAGTACAATACGACTTTGTCCCCAGTAGTCATGTTAGTCAGCACCATCTCCCCTGGTGAATCAATCCAAGTTCGTCCGAAGATTAAGTTGCTAACTTTTGTCAGGGGAGGCACCAAATCAAGGACTACACCATCTCTCTTGAGGGTCACACGTGTCCTGCATTTCGCAATTTTCAAGCCAAAATAACTAAATTGTGCAGAACATTTCGACATACAACAGTTTGTAAAAAAAAATAAAATTATCAGTCATATGTTATGAATAAAGACTTCTCTAATTTTATCAAAGGCTATGATTAAAGTGATTAAAACACCATGGCATCAAAATAAAAATAACAGGGAATTGCAGTTCTTAACCAGGCAAGTTTACAGCAGGATCCCACAATAAAAATAAATTATATCTAAGATTACTAAAATGGTTTATTGTTCCTTTGAACAATAGTTAGAAATGGTGTATAACCAACTGCAATGTAAGCACTCCAAACTTCTCCTACCAATCACTCAATCCACCTATTTGGAGTATCCAAGTCCAGAACTAGGATTCAGAACATCCCTATTTTGAAAAAAGAAATTGCATGTTGTCGAGACGTATAATCCAAACATGGCTAGCTCTATCTCTCAGCACTCACCAACATGAACATCGTGCAATCAAGAAATATAGTCAGAACATGCTGCAAGTCTCTCTTATCACTCACCAACATGAACATTGCTATCAAGACATATAATCAAACAACTCAGAAATTGGAATAGATTTAAGTCTGTTCATAGATATGCTAAAGTGAATAAAAGACTACTATCAACCATACCTTCCAAGAGGATAGATCTCAATTGAGTTCCCCAAAAATTTAGTCTTCACCTTGGAAGTTATATCATAAGTGAAATGCTCATTTTCGGCATGCCCAGCACTTATGGGAGGGTGATGGCTGACCTGTGAATCAAGACGAATGACAGCAACAAGAGTACTAATCATACATCCAATAAAGGAAAACGAATGCAGATAATTCAACCTTCAATTTCAGTTGCACAAACTCATTCTTCAGGGATGGAGAACTCACTTGTTCTGATATGAATCTAATGCCTCCATGATTTGTAAGTTCATAAGTTTCCCCCAAAATTGGATTAAATGGCTTCCAAGTGCGTTGGAAAGCATAGTAAACAGAAATGAAGAATGATGCTGCAATGTGATACAGTATTAGGTCTCATGTGCTATCCACAAAAAAGGTGGATGGATGGAAAGAGAGGAAAGGGATAGAGGATTCACACCAGCGTATACCAAACGCATGTGGGGATCATCACATTCATCTGCCAGATCTAACAGGTAGGAGTACTCCATCAACTGTGAAAACAACCAAAATCTCGGTAAAAAATGTGATAAATCAGTAACAAGAATAAGATGCACTAGGTTTACGGAGGAAAGCAAACCTCGGCCATCTTCTGAACCATGGTCATTGGCTCAAAGATAATTACAGGAAGAGTGACCATTGATGTGACATCAGAGCCTATATATTTCTGCATCATCCTCCAATAACTGTCCCTTTCCTGTAGGGGAAAAAAAAAAAGAGCAAAGGTAAAGAGATTAAACTACATTCCAACTAGCCAGAGCTTCAGATCAAAGTCAGCAGATACAGAGTGCCTTGCATAATTGTTGATTCCAACAGAGTAACTGACTAATTTTCCAAATCTTACACGTATAAACTATCACAGCCACATAAGGACAGTGGTTGAGCAGAGAGCAGTGTCTCATGGTGAGACTTGCAGCAATCTAACTTCGATAGTAAAAAAGAAACATATTATCCAAAAATGGCGAAGATTGATACGCTAAGAATTGCAAGGCTGGATGCTGGCAAGGGGTTTTACCTCCTGTTTCCATCTCCCTCTCTTTGCTTCCTCCTCGGCATCTTCAGTTCCTCCTTCCGGGTTGATAACTTCCAGCCCTTCGTAACCCACTAACCTGGAACGATAGAAGCAGGAAACTCAGTCAATTGCTCATCAACTGACACAAGAAGCTCAAGTTGAAAAGTTGGTAACACTCTACGAAGCAGTAACTTAAGGAACAACAAACAGCAGAATCCGATATCTGGCAACTAATGAATCACAAGGACGTGCTGATTCAGGTACTGAGAGGGCTTAAAATAGCAAGATAACATAAAATTTCGAGCATTGAAACTCGGATCCAATACAGAAATACTCAAATACTACATAAAATTGGGGAAAAGAGAGAACCACAATAATTTCGAGAGCAGCTGCAGAAGCAATGCATCTTAATCAAAGACTGCAACAACATGGACAAGCAATTCGTAGCAAGTCAAATCAAGAAGGAGCGATAAGAGAAAGAAAACAGATCTCGGTACCCGTTCACTGATCTGGACATGGCGCTGCCGATGTTGGAGAGACCGGAAGCGATGGAGGCGAAGAATCCGCCACTGCTTTGCTTGGGATCATTAGGAGCCATACTTTGGGAGGAAAACCCTAAACCAAAATCCCCTCTCAGTCTTCTCGGCAGCTACAAGTGAGAAGTTCCGACGCCAGCGATAGCTAGAGAGAGACGGCGAGAGAGAATCAAGAATCCGATTCAAATTCAATTATAAATTGCGTCCAAAAAGCGGAATATTATTAGAGATATATTTGAAAGAATAAAAATTGGGGAAACAACTTGAATCTGATCCAATGAGAAAAACAGGTCGTACGTATTCGTCGGGTTGACCGCTACAAGGTACCGAGTTGGAGGTCAAATTGTGTCATTTTTTTCTTAGATTTGCGAAATGTGTCTATTTTTCGATTTTTCTTTTCGCCTAACTCAAACTTTGGAATCATAAGTTGAACAATTGAATATATATATATATATATATATTATGTAAGTGTGTGTGAATTATCACTATATGTTGGATATAAGTACGACATGTTATTTTGGTGGAATATTATATGTTTACTTTTCCCATATTTTCGGGCTAAAACGGATGACTCATTAGCCCTTGACTCATTAGCTTGACCGCATCCGGGTCAGCCCGCTGGTTGACGACCTTGCAACGGAGGGAGAGGGTATAGTGTGGCTTGACTAGCTCTGGTTGGCTGGTTGGCGCTTTATTTGGAAAAAATTCTAAAATACACATGTTTTAAAAAAAATTCCAAAATACACACGTTTTATGCAAAATTTCGAATAACCACATGTTTGGGCAGTAACTGCGGTAGATGAAAGCAGTGAATGCATCACGGTGGTTGACGGGCACGGTGAATGTCTGACCTAACACTGAAACTTCAAATGAATGTAACTTTGTGTTCGATTATCCGATTGTAGCGAATATATTTTTTATTTCACATAACTTTTCATGATCTTTAAATCTTCAACAAGCCTTCATCACAAAAAAAAATGTCGTTTGCTACCCCAAATGAGCAATTTTTCGATTTCAACAAACTTTGAAAGACAATTACTTTGTGCTCCGCAAACCGAATGTCATGAAATTTTTTTTTATTTCGCATAACTTTTGAAGGACTACAACTTTTATCATAACTATAATTTTGAAATGTATGTGGATTTATGAAAAGTAAAGGCAAAGTTATTCCCAAAATCCCGTATACATAAATAGATTTCTTTTTTTTAAACTATTTCCTAGTAAAAGTTGTAGTTCTTGAAAGCTATGCGCAATCAAAAAAAAATTATGAATTATGACTTTCGGATTGCTCGGTAGAGGTAGCAAACGACATTTTTTTTTGGATGAAGACTTGTTGGATATTGAAAGATCTTGAAAAGTTATGCGGAATAAACAAAAATCGCTACAATCGGATAACCGAGCGCAAAGTTACATTGGCTTAAAGTTTCAGTGTTAGATCAGGCATTCACTGCTTTCGTCTGTCGCGGTGAATGCATTCACTGCGGTTGACGGCCGCAGTGATGCCCAAACATGTGTATTTTAGAATTTTTTTCATAAAACGTGTGTATTTTGAGAATTTTTTTAAAAACATTTGTATTTTGCGATTTTTCCGCTTTATTTGGGGCGGAGAAGGTGGATTCTGATTCGGACCTAATTATACACTTTTTATCCTCATTTCTCTTTGGCGTGTGTGGTATTTGAGCTACTAAAAGGGTGGTTTTACGCTAGGTTTGTTGTATTTCAATTTGTTTCAGAGTCTAATAGGTGAAACCAACCCCGGAGTCGAAAGTTGGAAGAAAAGGCGCAAAGACCGGGCAAAGAGGAGGATCCAGCCGTAGTTCACGGTCAGAGCTGCGAGTTCACGGTCGCCAAGACCGTCTACTGGAACCACGAACTGCGAAGCAAAGGGTGTCTAGAGATGTTCCAGAGGTTACTGACACCCAGCCAGTTCACGGTCGTAAGACCGTGAACTGAAGCCATGGACCGTGAACTGATCAAATGAAGCAGTGCGTTTTAGGTCGTGTTACGTCCTGCCTTGATGTTCACGACCGTGAACTGGGCGCGATCTGTGTATAAATGAAGAGTTGATAGAAGGAAGAAGAGAACCCAAAGTGAGAGAAACATTCTTCTTCTTGAAACCCTAGAGAGAGAAAGTCGCGAACCAAGAGGGATAAGAGGCTAGGGTTTGCTCCAAGTGAAGATTTGGAAAGTTCCTCTTCAAGAGCGGATCTCTACAAGGACAAGGAGAGTTGAAGGCATCACAATGATGGTTTCTTCCTTTTTCCTTTGTGTTCTTCCTTTGTTTAGCATGGAGTAGTCTCCCTTTTCACTTGGGTGTTGTAGAACCCTAACTTCTACCATGTAATTGATTGTGTGGATTGAATGATTATATGTGGGTGGTGTTTAACTTAAGATTTGAGGTATTTTTCATGGTGATTGTGCATTGTGTGTGCTTGGCAATCTATTATGCTATTCTAACCTAACTTAGGGGTCGTTTGCTTGATGGATTTGGGTCATGGATTTGGGACTCAAATCCCAAGCATGATGGATTTTAGCCAAGTCCATTGTTTGTTGTCAAGTGTTAAATCCGTGGGGTTCACGGATTTGTTCCCTTTTTTCGATCCAAATCCGTGGACCCCATGGACTTGTAAATCCTTGATGGCTAGTTATATTTATAGCAAATCCATCATAATTATATCATCAAATCTATCATGCAAAGAATAGACTCTTCAAATCCATGATGGTACAAATCCCTCATAAATCCAAAGGTTTTTTTGAGCCAAAACCCTCATTTTTCAAATCCAACAAGCAAACGACCCCTTAGATAGAAACTCCCTATCTTAAGAGGCTCATATTGAGCCGGGTTTTTTTAGGCATTCCATGCCTCCTAACTAGGTTAATAATGAAGGGCAAACCTCTAAACTCGAATTAGACACCTAGGTTAATTGTGATTATGCCGTCCAAACCTTGGTTTGAGGAAGAAGGTAAGTCAACCCTCAATTGCTTGGGACAAGAGGGCTACAATTGTAGCCTATAATGTTTCCTTGGCCTATCAATTGAGAGGATGGTTTTTGGCTCGCTCTTACCGTCACTCTAGAAAATAGCCAAGTGTAACCACTTCCTAAAGCGTAGTATAGCGGGTTTGGGTTTTAATGTCAACCCGGGTCCTAGATGTGATGACTACTCCGTGAGTTCTTATTATTTAGGAGTTAAACTTTAATGCAGGTCCAAACAAGCAAACAAGAAAGCAATTAAACGGTTGTTTTCAAGTCCAGAGAGGTCACCCGGATATGGTTCCCCCTATACTGTAGTTAAGCCGGATTGTAATTCACCAAGTTCAATTTCAATGATAGTTATACTGCGGAAGGTTCTTAAACACTCTGAAGTCTCGACTAAAGGTCTCCAGACCCTCTAAATCTGAGTCTCCAGCGGGCGACTAACCTCCACCGGAGTAAACAGGTTGAGGCCCTAACGAACCAAACCTCCACTACCGAAGCAAATTCGGTACAGAATAGTGAATTGGCTCCTCGACTAAAGTCGCCAATTCATTCAAGGGTGCTCTATCAACCTAGGCAGATATTCTCTTTCTAGGTTAAAGCAGAAACAACAGGAATTTGATCAGGATTCATGCCATTCAACAAATCAAACCTCAATTGAACATAATCATACCAATGAATCTGTACTTGGGTTCATACAATCAGACCTAACATACAAATCTAGGGTTCTTCATACCCATGTGAATACGAAAACTACTCCATAGAGAGAGATGGAAAATCTAGCTCAGATGCGTAAACCATACTGTGAAGGATGATAATCTGCTTCTGGCGCTCAATCAGGTCTTCTCCAAGCTCAAGCCGGGCTCCAATGGTGATGGAGATTGATCTATGGCACTTGCAGAGTCAGGTTCGTCACTTTCTCTCTCTAGGTATCGCTCTATCTCTCAAAAACTCGGAACCCCTTTTGCTTTGGCTCAAATCTGCTTAAAAAAGTCGACTCTGGGCAAAACACGGTCGAGGGCACGGCCGTGTTTTGCTTTTGCCCGTCCGTGCCCTTGCCACGTGTTAAAAACACGCCCACATCTTGGGGAAAACACGGTCGTGCCTATAGTTGGACACGGCCGTGTTTTCTGTCACTCCCGCCCGTGTTTTGGGCCAGCGCAGGAGCATCTTGGATCAAGCCTCGGCATAAAAAACACGATCCAGGAACACGACCGTGTTTTGGTTTAGTCCAGCCGTGATTTTCCTTCTCATCAGTTCAGCTCTCGGCAATAAAAACATTGGCATGCTTTTTGGTGTACACGGTCGTGCTCTTCAGGCCTCCTGCCCGTGCTTTGGCCCCAGCTCGACCGAATGACTTCCAAATGCCCCGAAACTCGTGCTTAGCCTTTCCTTCGACGTCTGGGACCTGAAATATGACAAAGTAGCACAACCCGGCGTAAAATAGGCCAAAAATACACGACTACGCCCCGCAAACGGATAAGAACTAGGGGTGCAAACATGTGCAATTACATCGTTATCAAATTCCCCCACACGTAACCGTTTGCTTGTCTCCAAGCAAACATGTGAAATGACAGCTTGATTGTGACTAGGACAACCTATGATGAGGACTGAGACGTGCAGTAGAATTGTGTAGGGGTTCAGTTTTTCAACTGTTTGTTTACCAACTGTGACTTGGATTGATTACTTGTTCTTGACAGTCGTTTATGCATCTAGTTCAGGGTATCAGAATGTGAGATAGAGCATATAGGTAGCATGTGAGATTTGACCCTGCTCGTTTCTTTCTTGTGCGATAGTTCCCTCTTCCATGATGTGTAGCATTCATGTGGTCATTAGCTAAGATGATGGAGGCATAGGATTAGCCCACGACCAAATTGACTGTCCTGGTGTGTCATACCCCCTAGTCAGCCCCTTTGAGCCGTGTGTAGTCTTTCTTTCGGTCTTCAATGAAAAGTCACCCTTTTGCATCTTTTAGAAGGTTCCACAGAGTGATTTTTACATGTTCTATGCTGTTTCTGCTAAATATAATGTGAGAGTTGGAGGTAGTTCTTAAAAAGTTGGGAAGGTGTTTGTAAATGTGCAGAGGT